CCACTGTATATATATATATTTATATATATATATTTAATAATGATAATCATACAATACAGTAACAACAAAGTACAGTTAAAGAAAAAAAACTCAGACTGGTCACATGTATACAGTTCAATTACTATTTAAAATTGACAAAGTATTTGTATTTTCTTACTTCCCATCCCTTTTCACATAAATTGTCCATTCTTCCTCAAATGTTGCACGTTTGATAAGAGTCTTGGCCTAACAACATCTACATGCTACTATTCAAATTAAGTTATAGTGCCAACCACTGGGTTATGAATTACCACCTACTGGCATTAAAAAGTACTTTTCATGTCAATCAATTCATAAAACTGATATTTTCATGGTCTAGTCTAAAAGCTTTACACAGCCACATCATGTTGTGAAATTTATTTATTCAAATGGGTTAAACCCCTTAAGTTGCACCAACTCGTTTTCGAGAGGTCCCATGATTGGTGTATCCTCACACATTTGCACAGTCTTCAATGTTAGCCACAGTACGTCGCCATGTCAACTCTCGTCCTGCCTGCACCTCCAACATGGGTGAGTTGGAGGGCCCGCTCAATGCTGCCTTCAGCTTTATCATTTTTAAATTTGAATTCTTTAACCAATATATAAGCAAAATATATTTTATTCGATGATATATTGTGATAAATTGACATCATTTTGTAACCATTGCATACCATTGATATAATAATAGCATATTATTAATAAACCTTTCAAAGAGTTCAAGTGAGTGCCGGTCAGCGGGAGTGTGGAGGGGGGATACAGGAAACTCCAGCATGGTATACAAACTAACCGTCGCTTCTGCCCTGATCCTGAAGCAGTAGCACTTATTAGCAAGCGTGTGTCTCACTCAGTGAGTGTGGGTGGGGCCCAGGGCCTGTGTTTTTAAACTCAGTCTCCAGACACATATGAGAGAAATGATTTGCTAAGTCGCTAAAACATTGCCGCTGTTCTTACATAAAATGGGGGCACTCAAGGCTCAAATTAAAAGTTTGATTCCTCCTTTTTGTGAATCAATATTGGATCATTGAAATTATAATCAATTTTAATCAGACAATCCATTTTTTAAACCCAGCCCCACCATAGAGACTAGAACCTGTGAGTTTTATACCCAATGCTAGCTGACCTGCCATACCCAAAGTTGCAGTTGAGAGACAGAAAGTGCAAAGGACCTTTGACTGGTTACCTTCAGGCAGATACAATAAGTGTAAGACCAACTGCCTTAAGCTCTCATTCATCTTAACATCTATCACAGTACTCAATAAGGAACATCTTGCTTTGGCCATGTTTCTCAATAACCTTTGCACTTTGTCTGGCACATTTTACACTGTAGTATTTAGGTTTTAATGCAGGTTTTTAGGGTTTTAATCTTTTACAATTTAATGCGCATCCCTGAGCTGTGTGCTTTTCCTGATGAGCTTGTGGAGCCACACGCAGGCACGGTTCACAGCCCCCACTGCAAATCCATTGTGTCATCCATGGATTTGTGACTTTTGCTTCACTACCAAGATTCTAAAACGTCACGGTACTCTTTACTGTAGGTACTGAACAATGCGGGCCTGCCACTGCCAATATTATTGCCTCCGCTGCTTCAGTCAGGGGAAACAAAGATTACATGTGCTATACTTGATAACAGAAATTTCATTATTTTCCTACATGCCACTGTCCTTCTAATGTTAATCTCTTTTTAATTTATTACTTGAAGGCTAAATGACCACTGTTGTTTTTTGCATGTTCAAATATTTTAAATAAAATTTGTGTATGTTGAAGTACATGGGAGTTTTTGTTTTGTTATCTACCATGGTATCGCGAATGTGGAATTTCATGGTATCGGTAACAACATTTTTGGTATTGTGACATCCCTACAAGAAAGAGGGAAGGCAGAAACTATGACAGGTTGTGGCTGTATGAAAAGTAAGTCAGGTTTAAGTAAGAGTATAGGAGGGGCAGCAGGACCAACAGGTTGGACAGGCTCTAACAAGGCGGTGTTAAAAGACACCAGCACAATGATGCAATAAACAGCCCACACTTGTGTAACAGTAAAAGGTGAAAAGGCTTTGCTTTAACCCATTACAGACCTTTGATACCTAATAAAACCACGCTCTCAAACCTAAGCCTTGATTGAAAACAACCCCCTAATATCCAATGTTTACAAATACCTTTTTTCCCCAGCCTCTCGAGCAATTAGAACATGATATTTTAAAAAGATGCTTAGACATTTGGTTTTCATTGTTAATCATTACTATTTCCCTAAAGTTCATGAACCTCGTCCATCAATGTGAAGCCTGTTGCCAGAAATCTTGATGCGCTGTTAACTGTAAATTTTGAAGTGCAAATAAACAAATTATAATTAAAAAAAGAATCCTGTCCTACAAATCAGAACCATCTCCAAAATCAAACCCATGTGACAGTGTTTTTGCCATCAGGACCAATAGGCTTTGAAATACACCCGACACTGTTGTCAACTCATATCACCACAAACTCTCTTGACATCTTTGTACAGTGTCTTCCACCGCTTTTTCACCAGGAGATATTCATTTTTATGTCTGTCATGTGTTAAAAGCATCATCAACCCCTCCACTCGCTTAAGGGCCAGGCAGAGAAAGTCCACAGAAACTGCGGAGGCTCTTAATCTGACATTTGCGTTCAGATATGCACCTACTCTGGAGAAAATACAGAGAATATGAGGAAGTCAGTACATGTCCGAAAGTAGCTTTAGTCAGATACATCGTCTGAATTTTCATCACTGTTATTTTTATTGTCTTAAGCTGCAGTGGAAGAACTAAAGACTTTCTCAGTCCCAGTTGATACTCAACATTGCAACTAACAATTATTTTTGATAGATTATTAATCTCATAAAAGACAAAAGCTACATTAGTCCCTTTCCAGCTGTTTATTTGAAAAGCAACTTAGTCTTCTTATATGGTGATACTTCTCTATGCATAACAGACATCTGCAACTTATTTACGATGATATTTTCTGTTTTGGATACCTAAAATGTTCAAGATGTCATAACTTCACCTACGTTCAAGATCACATACATTAAGTTTGAACTAATAAGTATGATGTAGATATCTATCTATATATGAACTTGAATTATAAGTAATTAGGATTGAAATTTTACATCTGAAATGATAATATTAATAGTTCAAACTCAATCAAAGATATTGTTTGAACAAGAATGGTCTCATACATGACACCATCTTATATGAAAATTCTTAATAGTCACAGTGAGAACACCAATGGTCCAAAATAACTTGTTGATGTTGTTGTTGATATTGTAAAGTTAATTCTGGATAGTCAAACTTGGTTAAGAAAAGTTAAAATGGCTTGGTCAGCTGAATGTGTCTCTGTGTATCAGACAGCAGTCTGTTTGACAGTTGTGTCTGTCACTCACAGCAGACATGGTGTACAGGGCTGAATTCATGCCTATATTTACACAAAACCTCCCAGCAGGTATTTTTTTTGTGATTTGTAACGTAACCACCATGAATAGAAAACAATATTTTATATCTTAATTTCACTGGTTTGTGGTTTTTCTGTCGCCATTATTACTTTAAGGACCATAGGCCACCTTCAAACAGTCCCTTTGCTCCTTTGTTTTTTCAACTAGAAGGCAAAGTGCAGACTTATACTTGTAAACTTATCAATATAACATAGTTTTACATAAGTCTAATATGCTCTTTAATAGATAGAAAAAAATTGAAAACCAAAAAAAATAAATTTGTTAATGTCCAGCAGTGCTTAATTTCCCCAGAAATGGCATTAAAGATATAAAGTACAAATATCCTCCAAAATAATGAGTAATATTAATCCGTAGGTAATCAATCAGACAAATCAACCCTGATAATGCGGACAAAAAGTACAACCTGTTCTATTGTTAGAATTACAACATAGATATCTTCCTGAATGATGGTGGAATAATATTGATTTTGACTGATACAACATATAAATTAGACAGAAATTTTTTTTATAGTATAACACTTCCCATACCTTTGTTATAATTTGTGGGTGTCAAGATGTAAACACAGACAACAGTAACTTAAGCTCTTGGTGAATCTGTCACTATTACACAACACAATAGTATACCAAACTTCAGTTAAAACCATACGCTAAATACTCAATATGATTTCCTTTTCTGCTACATGAACTTGCATTGATTACATGTGGCTTCTCATTATTGATGGAACTCTTGTATTTTATTTTTGGGTACAGCATGCACAGAACCCTATCAATGTGTTGACAGTACTAACATACACTACCTTCTGCAGCTATTCGATTGATAAACAAATACCACCGGCCCCTAAAACTGACGCAACCACTATTTATTGTAAGATTTTCCTGATGTATGGTAATATAACAAAGGTAGAACAGCATGCTGCCAATATTAGTACATGTAGTATATTCTGTAGTTGTTTTAGTGACCCTCTACAATATTTCCTCGTGCATTGATTGGCTTACTCAACACAACAAACATTGTTTGAATCATTAGAGGCCTCAAGAGAGTAAAGTAAAGCCATGCAGGGCTGAAAACGCCTTTGAACCGATGGCTTTAATTGTTTTGTTTTTCTTCACGTCTATGCTCCGCCGCCATTTTCTAACAGGGTTCAGGAAGACATGTTGGGAACTAATGCAACAAAAGAGGAGCGGCCATTTCCAGCCAAGTAGTTGCTTTTCCTCTGCGATACCAACTGATATTCACAATAAATGTTCACAAAATAATGTCAACATAATGCTGACATAAAGCGACTATAAATACCAAGTCAAACCACGATGAGATTTTAAAGTGTGCGTGGATAAGACATCGTTACTGGAATCGAAGTAATTTCAGGCCGACTCGCAGGCCTATTCCAAAAGGCTGTTTTCACTTTTACATTTGTTGTTTTTTTCCAAAGCTAACAACATCGCGGTATTTTAGACGAATAATTACATATAATACCATGTCAATGCCAGTAAGGAAAGCAAGATGTGAAAAGGTTGCCCATTACCTGATGTGTGGGATCCCGACACCACCTTGTAGAATCTTGTACAGTTTGCTTTCATATAACAACTGTGGGTGTCTCGCTTTCTGTGACTCCAGTTTTACAGCTACCTCCTAAAACGGCATAAAAAAGATGTGTGTTTAGCTTTTTTTGAAACTCTGTGGTCACTGCAGCAGTTTACAACAAAGACAAATATCAGTCAAACTAATTTTACAGCTACATCGCTAGACCTGCTAACATACAAGGCAATGTTGCAATGTGTCTTAAGATATTTTGGATTCAGCCACTACTGTTTCTGTTAGGAAAACTGTCAAAAACAAAGCTACGAGAACAGTGACAAATGTAGATGTCGATGCAGTAGGTTACCTCTCCATTTGTGATGTTGATGGCCAGATATATGTCGCCGAAAGATCCCGATCCAATTTTTCTAACAAGCTTGTATTTTCCACCGACTATGAACTCGGCTTTTGAGCCACTGCTCGCCATAATGTCCACCAAATGACGATTTCCACCCGATTCACTTTAGGAAATTCTGATGGGTGGTCTGGTCCGACTGTCAGCAGAACATAGAGTTCTAAATATCCACTTGGTGTTAAGGGCAATTGTTGATTTACTATTACCCCCACTAACGATAATAACAAAAGCAAGCAACAATATATATACACATATATATATACACATATGTGTGTGTATATATATATCCCCTGAAGTTTTCCCTTTATTCTGTTACAAATTATCTGCGTTAAAACACAACCCCTTCAGGGACCACAGAATACAATCCGAGTTTAAAAGTATAAACAGCCACAATAAACTCTGACAAAAGCTACGGCCTCCAACAACCTCCTAGCTACCTCGATGTAGCAGTCGATTCGACCCTAACGCTGGCTAACGTTAGCATCAAGCTAACGCTATCGCAAGGACCACCGCAAAAAGAAATACTCTCGGCCTCCTCCGCGCTGAGGATCAAATCTGCCTTTTCGATGACGTTAACGAAGTCTCTTGGATCTTTTTAGTCCCCCTGTTGTTATTGACAAACTTCAAGGGTCAACCGTCTGTTCAAAGTACAACTCGCTCACTCCGCCATCTTATCTTCTCTACCCTTTCTCTCAGCTGGTTTCCGTTGGAGGTGATTAGATATTCCAAGACCCCTTCAGGTTCTGTCGGAGAAAATACCATTAGACGCACGAGCGCAATATACACAGCATTGTGACATGAAAATACAATGTCTTCTCAATGGTGCCCGTAATATACCCATTTAACAATTGCCAAGCAACCTGCATCCACTTTGTATATATTTCGGTACATTAGGCCTCTTTTGCATCTTTCTGCCTCAAAAATTTAGCGTTAAATAAAACGTGTCATGTATAGTATTGGTGTATTGGAGTTATAGGTGATGATGTGAAAATTAATAAAATAAACTGAAGCCGCACAAATAAATGCGGTTCAGTCTGCGTTAATAGGGTTATGACTCACAGCGTTCCTGGCGTGAATACTCAGAAGTAGAGCAAAAACTCAAGTCTTATAATTACAATTGAGAGCACATCTTTCATACATTGCTCTCACATTTTTATTTCCTTTAAAGGTACAGTGTGTAGAATTTAGTGATATCTAGTGTTGAAATTACATGTTGCAGCTGAACACCCCTCACCTCACCCTCTCCTTCCAAACATGAAAAAGATCTTGTGGTAGCCTTTAATTGTCATAAAAACTCAAAAGGTGTTTAGTTTGTCCAGTTTGGACTAATGTAAAAAAATAAGGCGGTCTCCGTAGAAAGGATCCCCTCGATGTAAATATAAAGTATTTAAATATAAAGGGCCTTTTATGGGATAAAGAAAACTACAATTTAGATGAAACAAACTTGAAAACATCATGAGAATTATTCTACATTAAATTTCTGCCAATAGTGCCCTTTCACTTAAATCTTACACACTGGACCTTTAAGAAAACAGAAATCTACATAAGGCCTTTGACTCTCCAATATACATTTTGCAAACATAACCAACTTGAAGTTTGTTGCAGGTTTTGTCATCACATCTGCTACCATCTGGTATTTTGGGCAACATTATTTTCTCTTCATTTACAGTTGACCTTACAAAATGATACTAGATATCAATCTTCTCTGTCAATGCCCTCTAACAGTTGTACAAGGTACATGCACTCTAATGTGGTGGCGGCTAGCTCCAAATATTCTGCTTCACTTCACAGGTTCACAGTGCAACAGTGTGTTGCTTTTTGGTATAGTATAGTATAGGTATAGTATTTAGAGTATTTCCACATTATCCAATTCTATCGGACCATAATTTAATAACCTTTGATTTCTCATTAAAAGACTACATGCCATTAATGAAAAACTCCTTTTCTAGATGTCTACCTGATAGTGCTGTAGTCAAATTTAAGGAAATAATTCCAATTACAGTTCAGTCACCCATCGATATGACCGAATTCTTTAGAAACCCTAGCTCCATTGAGAGTGACCATCTTGTCAATAGCTTTGTAGACTCATTGAGATTAACATTAGACTTCATAGCGCCTCTAAAAAAGAAGCTGCCTAGTACAATTCAAACACACATGAATTAAAACGTCAAGAAAACTAGAAAGGAAGTGACGCTCCAACAACTGTGTTGAAAATCCTCTAGCCTGGAAAGATAGTGTTAAAGCATATGAGAAGGCCCTCCACAAAGCAAGAGCTGCCTACTACTCCTAATTAATAGAAAATAATAAAAACAACCCCAGGTTAAAATAAGTAAGTAACTATGTATTAGAAATACAATCTACCATCCCCTGCCCTCAGTTGAAACTAATACACCAACAAGCAAAGAAACAGCTGAGGATCCTACCAATTATTTATACAGCTTCTCTCTGATCTGACCTCAAACCCCTTCTCAAAAAACCATGACCACTCAAAGCACTACAGTTTTGCCATTCACCCATTTACACACATATTCATACAGTGCATCTATTAGCAGCACTTTTTGTTTTAAGAAGAGATACTTTATTAATCCCTCAAGGAGAAATTCTTTTTACACTCATTTTTTTTACATGTATTTTAAACCCTGAAACACAACCACACACACACACAAAGGGCTCATAGACATGCAATGTGGAGAGAGATGGTGGAGTGATGGGCAGCTCCGGAGATGCGCCCTGCGAGCAATTGGGGGGTTCAGTGCCTTGCTCAAGGGCATTCAGGCATAGGTTTCGAAAAGGGAGGAAGGATAGGGCTTGGCTAACCACAGTGGCAGGGAAACAAAAAGGAGACGGAACCACAAACTAACCACCCGTGACACTGCACACCAAATCAAATAGGGAATCGTGAAGAATGCCACCACCAGGGAGTTGGGCTGCCACCTGGGGCCCACAACACCTGTCCAACCCAGAAAGAAAAGTTAAAACCATGCCATGAGTGCATAAAATTTAAACTGATAGCCAAAAGAAACAACAATGGTCACTTATTAAAACATTTACATTCATCCACACACATGCACACATTCAGGACCAATGATAGGAAAAATAAAATAACCACACTCAAAGAAAGAAAAACAAGTAATCCACAAATTAACTACAAAACAATAGATTCACAAAACAGAATAAATCGTACAATTTATGATAATGAAACAAAACTAAATTAAACAAATTAATACAACAATGGTTAAAAATAGTGGCGTCAGAAGTTTCCTGCCCGAGGTTACACCACCAGCCGATCAACACGGGTGGAGAGGCCATGAATAAGGTGGCCACCCAGAACCAGAACCAGAGCAGGGCCACCAAAACCCAACAGATCCCGCAGAGCCAAAACAGCAGAACTACTCCAGGGAGCGATGGCGAGAGACAGGCCACAAAAGCTCTGAGAAATATTACGACCCACACCTGTGGAGCAGGGATAGAATTGTGCAGACTCTCCTTAACAACAGGACAGTACAGAGGAGCCCAGAGGCGAAAGGAACAAAGGGGACACCAAGAGTGAAAAGAAGGGGGAATTGCGAAAGCTATGGAGAGTAAGGAGAAGGTGTAACTGGCAGTCGGTGGAGTCGGAGCCACGGAAGTGTACAGCGCAACACAAGTAGCGAGCAGAAATCTCTGTCCATTTTGTGTGAGTTTAAGGACACCATAGATTGTATAAAAAGAGGACACATTGCTGCAACAGCTTTAGCTATCATTTGAACTGGTGACTGCCTATTACTTTCTTTTCCACCAGCCAAAACAGAGACAGTGATGAGGGTGAGGACAAGTCGGCAGGCATCTGAAGTTGTGTCAACCACTGAAGAGGCTGGACGCATGCTCCATTATCCCCTCTGGCCTTTGGACACATTTTTAGAGACTAAAGACCTTGTTATTTTAGTATATATATTCTATATATTTCCTATTAAGACTTGTTGTTAGCTCAACTATTTTAGTTCTTAAAATTTTATATCAGTGGGCTTTGGGTTAAGTATTGTATTTTTTATATATTGTAATAAATTATTTAAAAAACGTTTTCCCATTGTGAGGCTATCTGATTACCAGGTGCTGCTTGCCACCCGATTTTAAAAATAATATTTTTTCTCCTTTTTTACAAAATAACCTGTCTGCCATAATGTATACCCACACCCCTCCCCCACCTTGTTACAGGGATGACACCCAATTAACTAAACTTCAAGCATGTTTCAATGACACATGATACATGGAGCTTTCCTCTTCTGCCTCGTAGTCACATTAAAGACATTAATGTCTCATCAATACATATAACTGCCTTGATTTCTTCCTTTGGAGTCCTTATGCTTTATCGTGTGCAGATCCAGGGCCACAGCTGTGGCCAAATCCTCGATTATAATGGTGGATCACTGGGAGAAGGATCCCTCCTGGACGGTGGCCCTCTGAGGTCTCTGCATTCTTTGTCCCCTGTTAATTTTTTTTTTTTGTAGTTTACTTTGAGGGTTAAGGGAAGAGGATGTCAGACCTTGTTAAACCCTATGAGAGTAATTGTGATTTGTGAATATCAGAATCAGAATCAGAATTCTTTTATTTGCCAAGTATGTTTGCACATACAGGAAATTGCCTTGGTGTCGTTGGTGCACTACTTATGTACATAAAACAACAATATAAAAAACAACAA